TGGTTCGACATTTGTGTAGAAAGCATAATGTACCAGCTCACCCTCTTCATCGACTACATCATCTGATGTGATTACACATTCTTTCAACCTTGCAGGCATGTGTCTTGTTCGTCGAGGTCTGCTTGAACCTGCTTCATCTGCAACTGGTTCCTGTCGAACTTCTATTTCGACTTCAGTGGCTGGTTCTTCACAAGATATTCTCACTGAATCCTTCTTGGCATTCTCGGTCCAATCCCATTCTTTAAGCTCATCTATGATCACGTCCCCGCTGATCACTACTTGCTTATTCACTGGGTTGAACAGCTTGTAACCTCCTGTCGAATGATATCCTATCAAGATCATCTGATTCGACTTATCATCAAGCTTCCTTCTCAACTGATCTGGCACATGTCTATGTGCTATAGATCCAAACACCTTTAAGTGACTGAGACTAGGCTTGACACCAGACCAACATTCTTCTGGTGTGATTCCTTCAAGCTTCTTCGTCGGACATCTGTTCAATATATATGTTGATGTCGAAACTGCTTCTCCCCATAATTCTTTGGGTAGATGCTTTCCATTCAACATACTTCTCACCATATTCATGATGGTTCTGTTCTTGCGTTCTGCAATCCCATTTTGCTGTGGAGTGTAGGGTGGCACCACCTCATGTACAATCCCTTCTTTTACACATAGTGTATCGAACTCTTTCGACACATACTCTCCACCACCATCAGTCCTCAGAATTTTCAGCTTTCGACCACTCAGTCTTTTGACCATGGACTTGAATATGGAAAATACCTCAATCACATCACTTTTCTTCTTGATGAGGTAAGTCCACAGCTTTCGACTATAATCATCTATAAACGTGACAAAGTATCTATTGCCACCAATCGAATCCACCTGGATTGGACCACATACATCAGAGTATATGACTTCAAGTATTGCCTTCGACTTCCTTCCTGCATCCCTGCTGAAGCTATTCTTGTGTTGTTTTGACTGAACACACTCCTCACAGACTTCACTTGGAATGTCGATTTCTGGTAATCCTGAAACCATATTTCTTTTCTTCAGTTCTCTGATGTCATTAAAGTTGAGATGACCTAGTCGAAAATGCCATAACCACTCATCTCTGCTGGCTGCAGTTGCTAGACACTTATGCTTCATCACATTGAGTCCAATCTTGAAGGTCCTATTCTGAGACATTTGAGCCTTCAAGATTAATCTACTACCTGCGTCGAGAACTCTCATCATCTTGTCTTCGACAACTACCTTGTAGTTCTTTTCGACAAGCTGCCCTATACTGAGCAAGTTACTCTTCATGCCTGGTATGTACAACACATTGGAAATTGTTAACCTTTTGCCATCTTTCCTCCTAATCAGAATATCACCAACACCTTCAGCTGCTAGAGTGTTGTCATTTGCAAACTTCACTGTGTTCTTCGACGAGGGCTTCATGTTGACAAACCAATCTTTCCTTCCAGTCATGTGTGATGAGCATCCTGAGTCCAAGTACCACTGATCTTGGAATCTTTCTTCATCTTTTGTTGTAACCATAAGCAACGTTTCTTCTTCTTCATGTTTCGCCAGCTTTGCATCAGTCTCTTGATTTCTCTTCCTTTCTGGACAATCACTAGCATAATGACCATACTTCTGGCAATTGAAACATTGAATGTGGCTTTTGTCTGTCTGTCGATCACCACCTTTTCCTGCAGCACCACCTCTTTGGTTGCCTTGGTTCCAAGGTTTCTTTTGATTCGACTGGTTTCCTCCTTTGTTGCCATTCCAGCTACCTTTGCCTTTTCTCTCCTTTCCATCTGTGCCTGCAAAGCCATATCTTTCGACTTTCCTGCAGCTCTCTCAGCCATCCTCTGTTCATGATACTCAAGAGTCCCTTGAAGCTCTTCCTTCGTCAACACTGACAGATCTTTCGACTCTTCTATGGCAACTACCACGTGGTCGAACTTTGGAGCCAACGATCTCAAAATCTTTGAGACAACTGCTTTCGTCGGCGGCGCTTCTCCACATACTTTGATTTGATTCACCAACTTTGTAACTCTGGTGAAGAAATTTGTAATGCTTTCGTTGTCTTCCATCTGAAGCAACTCATAGGTTCTCTTGTGAGTTTGTAACCTCACCTCTTTCACCTTCTCTGCACCTCCAAACGACTTTTCAAGAATCTCCCATGCTTCTTTTACTGAATCAACATCACTAACCTTTTCAAAGTTATCAGGATCAACATACTGATGATTATAAAGAGTGTTTTATAATCCTTCTTCTTCAATTCTTTGTGCGCAGCCTTTTCCGCCTCCGTTGCATTTTCCACAAGCGGTGTCACTCCGTCCTTCACAAGATCCCAAAGATCTTGATAACAGAAAATCACTTTAACCTGCTTGCACCAATTCTCATAATTGTCTTTCTTGAGAATTGGCAGGGTCGCCGGAAAATTGTCGTTCGGATAGTTCATCGCCATCACTATCTTCCTTCCTTGAATCTCTTAACCGGAGCTCTAGATACCAGATGTTGGAAATTCACCTCACACCCTATGAAGAATTCCCTTCAATCTTGATCTCAAGATTGATGAACAAACCCACAATATGATAATGATGGTAATAACAAGTAATTATCAAGAACAACAAAAGAGAAGAAGAATAACAAACAAGAAAGAGAAGAATGAGAGAAGAAATATTTGGAGAGAATGTGTTACCCACAACCGTAAGATTTCTTATTGAACTTTCACTTACTAACTACAACTGTGAAATCTGTTCTGTTGTGATGTAGAATACAAAGCAAGGCACCCTATTTATAGTTTTAGGTTTACACTAGCCCAAAACATAAAAGGCCCAAAATATTCTATATCAAATCTAATCATATGATATCAAATCTAATCATATGATATCTAATCATATCATATCAAATTAATCATATGATATCAAATCACAATGAATTATATTTAACATCCTCTTTATTTAAGGTACTGATGTATAGAAACTGGCTCAGATTTTTTTTCATTATTTATACAATAAGATATTTATAAAGAATCATAATTATTATTGTTCAAGCACCATACTTGTGCTTCAGATGCCCATTAGCATACTCCACCAGCAATTACTTCTTTATGTTTCAATTATAATAAGAAGATTTTAGCAGCTTCTGCAGTTGATGAAATGATTCCGATATTCGATATCCTCTTTATTCATTTGGTTGTTTATGTGTATTAATGAATCATTGAATTGTTATATAATTTGTCATTCAGTGATTACAGCCAGTGGAGCTTTATACAAAAAAACCATTTAAAAAAAAACCATTTTCCTATGTCTTTGAAATGATTTTGTTTCTCTTTTTTATTTTTTCTTTATCTCATAAATCACTTTTTTAATAATTATTTAATACAATAAATTTTATATTATTATTATTATTTATTTTATAATTAAATAATTTGTTTCAAATATATATATATATATATATATATATATATATATATATATATATATATATATATATATATATATATATATATATATATATATATATATATATATATATATATATATATATATATATATATATATATATATATATATATATATATATATATATATATATATATATATATATATATATATATATATATATATATATATATATATATATCATTAAAAAACATTTATAGAAGACATACTTTTTTAAAAGTCTAAAAGTAAAAATAATTAATTAATAAGAAAGATAAATTATAAATGGATCCATAAAATTCTTAACCCTTCAAAATACTAAAGAATATTAGTAGTGAAATTGCAACAATTATCATGTTATTTTATTTTTACTAAAAACAAAATAATATCCATTCATTTAAATTTAAATTGATATGGTACATTGATTAAGAACAATACAAATAATGCATAAAATTAAAGCTTCTCAAATTCTCATGTCTCCAAATTTACAATATTAAGGCTATTAGTTATTAATTAAATATACTTTGTATTTAAATTAAAGTAAATCGGTTAATCTAAACCAAATAAATATCACAACTAGACATGAAAGAAGACAATTTCATTATTGAAATCTACTATTTTTTTAATATAAGTTACCAAATATTATGATAAAATTAAATGATATCAAGTGATACGTTAAGCTATATTATTCAATTTTTTTATGGGTAGATGGAAGAATCGGAAAAAAGAAACTACGAGAAACACTTGTGATAGTAATTTGATTCATTCTTAACAAATATTTGCAAAATTATTCATAATAAGTATAATAAAAGTTCGCAAAAATGAATATTATTACATACTCGAATAATTTTTTATAAAAATAAGTAGATATGAATGTAAATATAAATATTTTAATACGTATTATGTTATATATCTGCAAAATATATATTTATGTATTTAAATTTATATTATTATATAAAAAAAATATTTTTGTCAATTTTAAATAGTATAGTAATGTTAAACAATTACTATTAATTTATTTCAACAATAATTTTTTTAAAATTATTTTAATATTTTTAAAAACTTTAAAATGACATGAAAATATTTATAATTGATCGATTTATTTTTAATAAAATACGAGTATAAATACTTACATATTCATAAAATACAAATATATACACTAACTTTGATATCTAAACATATATAAACTCAAGTAATTTTTTTTTTTTAAAATCACGAATAATACTATATATTATCCTGCCCAAACTTCAATTGACATCCCTAAAAATATCCTTAGCCGCCACCAATAATTTTTGATTCATGTATGAATCTTAGTTCTCTTAGACCCGTTATCTAATTTAATATTTACACCCACCAATCGACCCCACATGCATGAATTGGATCTATCCAAAATCACAAAAGTATCATGCTTAGTCTATAGTCAATATTGTGACATGAATAAACCACAATATACTAATACCAACCGAAAATGATAGTTCACCTAATTGTTTTTTTATTATCTTATACTTATAAATTGGGAAGCAAACACAAGGGAAAATGTCAAATTTAATCATAGTAATTAAATTAAACATGGGAAAATTTGGAACATGCCTAGTGGTATTAACATTGGTGTGTTTGATTGCAACAACAATTGCAGAACAGTGTGGAAGACAAGCTGGAGGCGCAACATGTCCAAACAACCTCTGTTGTAGTCAATACGGTTACTGTGGTGACACCGATGATTACTGTTCACCTTCTAAGAACTGTCAAAGTAACTGTCATGGCAGTGGCGGTGAAAGTGCTTCTAATGTTCGCGCCACGTATCACTATTATCAACCGGAACAACACGGTTGGGACTTAAACGCTGTTAGTGCTTATTGTTCAACTTGGGATGCAAGTAAGCCTTATTCATGGCGTAGTAAATATGGTTGGACTGCTTTTTGTGGACCGGTTGGACCTCGAGGTCAAGCTTCTTGCGGGAGGTGTCTCAGAGTAAGAATCAAATCCTATTTCTTTCTGATCGACGGTGTGTCTGGGGTCTGACATCTGACATATATATATACTCACGTCTGATCTGTCTGGTGTCTGACTTACTTCTGACATGTTAGTATTGATATTTGACTTTTGAGATGAATTGATGAACTTTTGAATGAAAATATGATGATGCAGGTGAGGAATTCAGGGACAGGAGCAGAAGAAACAGTGAGAATTGTAGATCAATGCAGCAATGGAGGGTTGGATTTGGATGTGGGTGTGTTTAACAGAATAGACACAGATGGAAGAGGATACCAACAGGGACATCTTATTGTGAGCTACCAGTTTGTAGATTGTGGGAATGAGCTGGACATGATCAACCCTTTGTTCTCCATCATGGATGCTAAACAATGAATGTTTCAATGTGCTTTCTCTACCTTTGTATGGTAGTAATCAATAAGTGATTGTGTTTGTAACTGAGTTTGACACTAAAGTCTTTCTGTTTTGAAAGACCAGTTTTCAAACGTGCTTTTCATAATAAATTTGTTATACTTAAAGCATGAAAATTCATCTTGATCTCTCTCTCTCTTTGATTTAAAACTGCAAGTTGTAGTAAGTGGTTTTGTTGATTAAAAGCTACAAAATAAATTTCTAATACAGAAAAGAAATTGATTATTATATCAACCAAAACAATAACAACAAAAACAAAATCTTATATCTCTAAATGAGTTGGGCTGTATTGAAAAAAAAGTCAATATGAATAGTAACTCAACATAGCCATTACACTAAATTGAAATGTGTATTTTTTTTTCTCCATATTATTTAATAACTAACATGTTTTATTAATGCACATGAGTGATGTTAGAATTTGGAACTATAAAGTTATGGAGTAATTGAGGGGAGAGAAGGAGAAAGTGAAGGAAAAAATTAAAGAGAATATAATTGAGGGCGAGATTATATTTTGTATTTTATTTCTTTGTAGCTTTAAAGTATATATATAATTACATTAGAGTGGGACATACGCGACAAATTCAAAATAACAAAAAATTAAAATTTGTCTGTCGGTAACTGATTATATAAAATCTGTAATTAGTTACGGTTGTTTCTACATTTAATGTTTAACATAATGGTAACTAATTATTAAAACGTAATAATCAATTATACGTGTTTCATAGATAAAAAATACCGCATCCTGTAACTGGTTATAGCACTTGAATTATTAATTTTTCCACAACACACCACTTTAATTCAAGTGTTTAAAGTCTTTTATCCCCGTGTTCTTCTTCAGTCTCTTGAACACTTTAAATGTGACTCCCTTGGTCAGCAAATCAGCCACCTGATCTTCACTTCTACAATATCATAATCTCAACCTTCCTTCACTAATAAGTTATCTCAAGTAGTGAAATTTCATCTTAATATACTTGTTCCTCCCATGTACAATTGGGTTCTTAGCAAGGTTTATAGCGGAAACGTTGTCAACCATGAGCGTTACAACGTCACCCTCTTTGCTGCCCAGCTCCTTTAACAGATTCATTAACCACACGACTTGGCACACACATGACAAAGCGGCAATGTACTTGACATCACAAGAAGAGAGTGTTACTACCAGTTCATTCTTCGAACACCATGAGATTGATGTTTCACCAAACATAAAGGTGTATCCAGCTGTATGTTATCTATCATCTTTATCTCCGCACCAATTGGAATCAGTAAAATTGAGCAAATTAAATTTCCTGCTCATGCTCATTGCAGGAAAAAGAATTCAGTAGCCAATAGATCATTTGACGTATCTTAGAATCCTTTTGACTACTGCCAATTGAGACACATTCAGTATCTCCATGAATCTACTCACAATACGGACACTAAACGAAAAATCTGGTCGTGTATTGCACAAGTAACACAAGGATCCAATCAATCTTTTATACTGAGTTGGATTAACATCTTGCTCATTCTCATTCTTCGACAATTGCAACCTCGGTTCATCCGGAGTAACGACAACATTGCAATACTCCATTTCAAACTTCATCAAAATCTCAAGTGCATACCTTCTTTGGTGCATGAGCAGTCCATTTTTGGACTTGTGAAACTCAATGGCAAGGAAGTATGTCATGAGATTAGTCATCTCAAACTCTTTCATAAGCCCACTCTTGAACTTAGAAATGCATTATTCGTATCTACTTGTAATCGTAATCAACAAATCTTCTATGTGTAGCCAAAGGATTAACACCCCTTCATTTGTATCCTTCTTCACATACACACCATATTCGGATACACACTTCTTGAAGTCAATCTTCTTTAAGAAACCATTTATCCTCTTGTTTCAATCTCTTGGAGCTTGTTTCAAACCGTACAATGCTTTCTTCAATTTGTAGAACTTTGACTCTTGGTTTTTCACAACAAAACCAGGGGGTTATTCTACATAAACCTCCTCTTCAAGCGGTTCGTTAAAATTGCATATTTGACATCCATTTGATAAATGAACCAATTTTTGTTATTTGCTACATACAACTATCCTAATGGTTTCAATTCTATCCATTGGTACAAATAGCTCTTCAAAGTCTATGCCATCGCTTTGCAAGAATACCTTTGCAACTAATCGAGCCTTATGCTTGATTATTTCACACTTGGGATTTGCCTTTACTTTGTACACCCATCTTACACCAATTGACTTCTTTCCTTATGGTAGATAACCTAACTCCCAAGTCTTGTTCTTCTTAATAGATCCCAACTCCTCCTTCATAGCACAAATCTATTTTGGATCACTCAAGGCCTTTTCTGTTTTAATGGGTTCAGATTTGGTTATAAGTGCAAAATTAATGAAATCATTGGTATTATTGACTTTGTTATCTCAAAACACCTTAAAATCTTGGAGTTTTGGAGGTAAGCCTCGTTGCCTTGTTGATCTTCTCACATTCTCTTCCATTTGGGCTTCAATGGGGGTTGTTTCTGCACTATCAAGCACTGTATAAACTATTTGTTTATTATTGTAACCGGTTACAGCTTTCTGGTAACTAGTTACAGGTTGCTACAGTTGCTTGATTCATCAAACATGATGTCTTGCCTGATCAGAATCCTTCTGTTTTCTGCATCATACAACTTGTAACCACCAGAGAATTGATACCTTACAAGAATCACCAATTCCCCCTTATCATTCAGTTTCTTTCTAAGTTGTCCCAGAGCATGTCGACATGCCACGGAACCTAAAACTCTCAAATGATTCAGATTTAGTTTAAATCCAGACCATGCTTCCTCTGGTGTTATCTTCTCAAGCTTCTTTGTTGAACACATGTTCAACAAATATGTAGTTGTATACACCACTTCTCTGCATAACTCTTTCGACATGTTCTTCCCCTTCAACATGTTTCTCACCATGTTCATAATCGATTGGTTCTTCCTTTTGGAAACACCATTTGCTATGGTGTATTAGTTGGTACTACCTCATGTACTGTCCCTTCTTGATCACAATACCTCTCAAAATCATTTGAGACATATTCACCTCCATCATCCATTTTGAGCATTTTGAGCTTGTGACCGCTTTGCTCTCAACCATGGACTTGAACTTCTTAAATAGTTTGAATACCTAATCCTTTCTCTTGATTAGGTATCTTCATAACTTTCTATTATGATCATCAATGGATGTGATAAAATATCTATTGCCACCAAACAAATCAACTTGCATCAGTCCACACACATTTGAATACACCACCTCAAGGTGATGCTTGGTTATATAACCTGCATCCTTGCTAAAATTACCCTAATGTTGCTTTTCTTGCACACATTCTTCACAAATTTCATCCGGTATATTGATAAATGGCAACTCTGTTACCATTCCATTCTTTTGCAAGGCATTAAGATCTCTAGAGTAGATATGCCTAAGTCTATAGTTCCATATCCACTTTTCTCGACTAGGCATTGTAGCAAGGAGCCTATGTTCCATAACCTTCAACTTAACCTTGAAATTTATATTGGAAGCCATAAAATCTTTTAGGATCAAAGCCTTGTTTGCATTCATAACACGTAACACCTTGTTCTTCATGTGAATCTTGTAACCATTCTCAAGAAATTGGCCAATACTCTGAAGGTTACACTTCATTATGGGAATATAAAACACATCCTTTATCAAAGAGTTCCCATCAACCCTTCTCTCGATGGATACATCACTAACCTCTTCCACTGCTAAAAAGGTATCATCCGCGAACTTCACTTTGTTCTTCATGGCACAATTGATTGTTCTAAACCAATCTTTCCTCCTTCTCATATTCATTGAACATTACGAGACCAAATACCATCTTTCGCTGCACTAAATTGCCTTTTTCATAGTCACCATTGAAGATTCTTCTTCATGTAATCGGTTATGGTGTATAGGTAATTGGTTACAGCTTGAATTTGCAGTTTTATCCAAACTGTTGTTGCACTGATCTTGCAGCCTGCTGCTGCATTCCCCTTCTGTGATCATGACCAAGAGAATGTTCTCATCATCAAACATTGTCTTGCAACCTTGTCCTCATCCACTTGAGGTTCCTTCTTGTTCGCATAACACTCTCTTCCAAAATGACCAAACTTTTGACAAATAAAGCATTGCATCTTGCTATTGTCCATCCTTCCCCTTTCAACTCTAAAGTTGCCTTGACCACCATTTTTGTTTCAGCTGCTCTCACTCTTTTGAAAATCCAAATTATTAGAACTTTGGGATTCTATTCAACCAAAATTCTGAAAATTTCTTTTACTCTTCATGGGCCATTTTCCTTCGATTTCTTATTTTTCTTGTTGAAACGAGTTTGCAAAGCGATCTCCTCCTTTGCCTTATCACAATTTCTCTCCTCCATTCTCTGCTCATGTTCCCCAAGAGACATTTTTATCTCCTCTTTGCTCATGGTCGTAAGGTCCTTCTATTCTTCATTCTCTACCACAATGTTATAGAATCTTGTCGTCAAAGAACACAAGAATTTTGCAACAACATATTATTTTATAACAGTTTCACCATACGTATTTACTTGATTTACCAATCGAGTAATTCTCTCCGTGAAATCATTGATGATCTTATTTTGCTCCATTTTAATCAATTCAAGTTAATGTTTGTGAGCTTGTAACCTCACAACCTTCTCCTTATCAGCCCTTGCCCACACCTTCTCCAAGATTTCCCACGCTTGCTTCGATGATTCACAATCACCAACTTCTCACACCTTGATGAATTAAATATAGCACCTTGAAATATTTCTTCTTTTTTCCTTATGTGTTGTTCGTTGTGCATCTGTTGCACTTCCAATAAGAGGACTCACATCGTTCTTGGCCACTTCAAAAATATCTTGGTAGCCAAACAACACCTTCATTTGTTTGCACCATTTATCGTAATTATTCAAATCAAGGATGGACAAGTTTGTAGGGGTTATTTCATTAGAGATTAAATTTATGTT